CGTAATTCTTCGTTGTTGGAATGTGAATCATGCCCTGTGTACGAGTTCACAGGGTCGGATTGTGATCCCATTTATGATTTTTGTTTCCATCAAAAGCACCTATTCACAGCGAGCAGGGATAGGATAGTAAGGAAATATAGAATTCCGTGAAGCAGTATGTCTTTATTGCGTTTTGTTGTTCATGGGTATCACACTGAGTTGACTTTGTTTCCTGTATGATTCTGTTGGGTGCTTACCATAATTCCCGGTCTCTGAAATGTGCTGCAAAATATTTGTTCAGTCAATCTGCAATTTCATCAGAATAAACTTTTATCTCTAAATTGTCTTGTCTCTAAACAACAGGAACTCTCCTGTGCAGAGAAATAAATGAAAGAGTATATAAATAATTTGATGTGACTTTGCATGACTGCAGCTTATCACCAGGTTCGTACCAATCACGGGGATAGGGGCAGCAGATGACGCATGTTTTCTTCGTTCCGCACCTTCTCTGAATTAGAACTTCTGGTGACGCACGCACATCATTTGCAGTATGCCTCCTACTGTTTGCGGGAAGAGCATACGGTTCCATGAGACTCGCCCTTTTCCCATGCTCCGATTCATAATATTCCCCCTTATTCACGGATTCTTCGTTTTGTGCTAATGCCTCCGCTGTTCCGATCAGAGGGCACGGCCCAGAAAATGGGCCCTTTCCGCTTGTTGCCTACAGAAGAATCTAATTTAAAAGTATTTAGTTTGGATGTTCAACAAGTGCCTACAAGGTTGTCGAGCGAAGTTACAGATACATCAGCTGCGCTTCAAAACTGTGAAGTTCAAAGCTAAGGTGAGTTGTCACAGTCTATTCAAGCTTTGTTTTGGTGGCGGTAAGTGCAAAGACCTAGAAATCCGAAGTAAACTCCTACTTGACTCTAAGAGCTGGCTCTCAATTCAAAACGTGCTCTCATTTACTATGGAACATTTGCAATTGGAGATCAGCGCAACACCCCCTGAACGCCTTCTGGCCATCACCTTAAGGCCTTCACCTCGATTGATCATTCCATTACGATTCGTCGCGCTTCGAGAGCAAAATCTTAAAAGCATGCACTAGAATCACATTGGAATCGTAGAAGCAATTTGTTTATTTGTGCAAATTACGCAAGCTTCTTTCCAGTCACATTGAAGTTTGGTTCAGGTAGCGAAAACTCATGCTCTTAAAACACCATCCATGGTCGCACTAGATCACTGTGACTTCTACTATGGTCCTATGTTTGGCAAACGCTGGCCAAGTATTCGCCTCGGCCTGCTCACCACCAGTAAATATGTGGCTGTTATGAATACTTTTTCAGAGTGAGTAGTGCGATAAATGTGATCCTAGATTTCTTCTCACACTACGCAGCAGTTTTGCATGTTCGATTTCAGCGACAGCGATATTTACGAAGATCTCTTGGACGATTCAAACACAATAGATCTTTTGGCGAGAATTCGTGGAAAAACTGCGTCTGAGCGCATTGAGGAGAAGAAACAACGGGTGGACAGTCTTGCTAGGGAAGAAACAGAGCGTGTGCTCAAAGACATGGTCAGTTTTCTTTGGTTTTGAAATAGCCTGCATTTTTCTTTATAATTGCATTTAATTGTTCTTCACTTTTTTTACTACTTGGTGGCGGTTCCGCTTTTACTATTGTTCTGACATGAGTACTGAGTCAATTTTGATGACAAATAATTTCGAGCCCATGTAAACTGTCAGATCTGGACGTTCTCGAAGCCTCCTTCTCAAACATGTCGAGATTGAGACCAGTCTTGTCGCGGTGTCGCCAGTCATGCGAAGAACGTGGATGGCGAGATTTATAATGTGTAGTTACGCACACTCTAAGTTTTTTGGAAACACCTTGATATAGAAAGCATAACGTGCAACTTCACGAAGAATGTGTTAAGAAACTTTCGAGGTATGTCTTGCGGCCAACCAGAAAGCCTCTTTGGCTATTGGGCAACTTGACGAGATCACGGACACATCCGTCAGTGATTTGTATTGTTATGCTATGAGGAAGCATGCTTATGAGGAACAAACGTATAGTGGTGGTGCGTGATCGTCCTTCTTTTAAGCTGTGAAGAGTAGTTGTTGTGCTTCCATAGCACGGAAGAGTGACCAACCACCGTTGTGCAAGTTTCTCAGTAACATCGCCTAAGCGAATGGCTGATATCACCGGGTCTTTTCTTTTTGCTGGAGCTCACTGTAAGACTGCCCGTCCCAGGCGAATGTTTTTGTGCCGTTCTGGTTTCCGTGTTGCCAGCTCGAAGCAAGCATAGGTGTCCTCACTTTGGCACAAGTCAGTTTGTGTTGTTATATCCCGCTGTGGAATATTAGGGCGTTTTCCGAATTTCATTTCTGCTGGTGCGGTCAATGAAAGTCCTCCTCTTCAAGATCCCGCTCTTGTTGTCTACATTATCTGTATATGCAAAACCATCTATAAAACGGATGAGAATTCTTCGTGTTACCAATGTGTTTGCTGATCAGTTGATGACGTGTAGTTCTTCGCTGTGGTGGTCTGAGTGAGCTATGTTTCCTTCTGGCGTAAGTGCCTTTGGTACGCGTCACCTTGAAAATTTTTGATATTCACTGTCACAATCATGAAAGCGTAACGCTTACCTTGTGGTCATCCCTGACAACGTGAAAGGTCGAAACTCGCTTCCGATCACTCAGAGCACGCCCGTTCTTATCGTTTTTAAGACCTCTTCTGATTGCGAGCGTGGAGGAACTGCATTGAAGCATTTCGCGCTGGTACATAATTAACCAGGGAACGCATTCTCGTGGAAACTTTGAATTGAGACCCAAAATATATCGATAGAGCTTCAAATGCTGATTACAAATATGGAAAGCTAAAATGCAAAATGAACCTGCCAATGGAAGTTGTGAGCAGTCAAATTTGGCTGAAAGTCAAGGCATTGCATTTAACCGTTGGCTGGATTCCAGGCTTTTAGAGTCGCCGCGGAGTAGTGGTAGTGCCCTCGTTGGAACGCATATTTCGGGAGCACTACCGCAACTCCACGGCGAGTTTGAAACCCCGAAGGCTAGCACGGTTAAATACGTAACGCTTTACTTCCAGCCGAAACTTTGACTGCTCACAACTTTCCTTGGCAGGTTCATTTTGCAGTTTTAGTTTCCATAGTTTCAGCATTGGAAGCACTATCGATGTATCTGGGTCTCAACTAAAAGTTCAACGGGAAATCGAGTATGCCTTTCCTGGTAAGTTCCGGAGATGTCCAGATACGGTTACTTCGATACCGCTTAGGCGACATGTAGTGGCTTTTGAGGACACGCTCTGCGATGAATTCAAGTGGGGTCAATTCTGTGGTGGTTAGCATGAGCTCACCACAAAAGTGGTAAATGTGCCACCTTGCGAACAGAAAATGCGCAGCAAAGGCGCTGCAGGCCACGCCAACCCGTGAAAGGTCGGTGTCAGATTTTGCGAATCCAGCTATTCAATTGTAGCAGCCAGTTGCGAATCCGTGGACTCGTTAGCGTCTCCGCTTTCGGTCTTTTAGCGTGTGCCAAGCTTTCTCAAAACGGTTTTTTTTCATAGTATAGAGGCACATGCCACAATACTGTGACTCGTTTTTCTTGAATGGATTCCTAAGTTTCAGAAGAAGGATGAAGAAAAATCACCTCGAGAAGTGTCGTTTTTATTGCATCACTGTGGCGCATATCGTCTACAACGTAGACTAATGTCATATTAATCGGCTCCTGCCATCCGTACATTGAAAACAACGCGAACACGCAAAATGAGGTCTTTGTTCGAACTATGTGCTGAAGAAAGTGTCATGCTTTCATGAGGGATTTCGGTGTGGTAGGTCTGTATGAGAGGGATAGCGCGATGGGCTCTGGTTGGTACGGTATCGGAAGGTTTTTGATTCGACTCCTCACGGCGTGAAGCTTTTGCATTTTTGGCTTACACCTCAGCATGAGTGCCAAGTGGTACTACCTCTATTTTAGACTCCATATTCATGATCGGGGTAATAAATAACCCCAGTGAGATGAGTTTTCGTCGACAATTGGGGAAACGTGTAGCAGCGCCAAGATGGCGCCAAAAAATGCCATCTTCGTGGTCAGATGGCCGATCTAACCCCATCACCGTAGTTTTGCGGAAAATTAAGATTTTGACTAGACTTCGAAAAATTGGACCGATCGTAGGGACAACCCAACATGTGTTCCCAGACGACTGGAAGGTGACCTCGAAGCCGAAAATTAAAGGTACCCTCTAATAATGACCACGGGAATCGAGGTTCTATCTCTACAGGACACTCTCACACTTCGGTGCGTTCTTCTAAGTCGATCTAGCTACCAAGAGGAGGCTCAATCCACTGGCAGGGCCGAAAATTCAACTTGCCACTATTTGATGGGAGGAGAGCCTAGCGACTAGTTAGTCATCGTGTGTGGTCCATCGGCCATCACCGGCCTGGGTCTGCATTGTTCATTTAACATGACATTTTGACATCCAATCCTGGCAGTGGCACCATTTTGCGCACATTCTGAAACGCCAACTCAAAATGCAAAAGTTTGTCAACGCGAGAAATCGAACCACGGACTACTTCATCACCCCTTTCTGGTATTCAGGGGCCGTTTAGGAAAAACGAACCATGGTTCTGTGACCTACATGTGCCTCTATTAACGCAAAGCTTGGCACCCCTGTAGACTTCTGTTAGTGCTTCATAACTGGCTACTTCGTTACCGTCAATAGCCAGGGTAGATGAGCCTTTTTATGTGTTTCCGAAAATTCTATTTTTTTTCGCTGTATGTTTTTTCATACGTTAGTGCTTAATTTTCCGAGCGTATTATTGCGATCCTTATGTGTGGGCGTGTCTTAACTTTATAAAAGCAAGCCCAGATCAGATGGGTGTTGAGCATCTAATCAGTCAATACAAGTGGAGATCGGGAGGTTTATTGAAAATCAGAAAAAAAAAACAAAGAACCATATAAAGCTTTGCAACAAGACTCTCTATTCGCTGCATTCATCATGGAATATAGAATCTCTGCGCTCCTCTCTGCCACCTCTCTACTCCTGTTTCATTTCCATCAATGATTTTTAAAAATTGAAGAATGCCACTCTGGCCCCCGACAATCTACCTCACTTTCCTCTCATGTTCCGAATTTAGTTGATACGTGTATTTTTGAGCACATATTCTGCTTGACAGGGTATTGTCATTTCACTCGCCAAACTATAAGCATATTTCCATTTTTCAAGGCAAAGGTTGGTTCTCAGCACGCGCACACTCACTCTCCCCCCTGGTATTGGAGTCTGCATCATGCAGCACTCCCACCTTGAAAAACTCCGTAAACCCCCGGTCGTTTGGTTTAATACAGGGCCAACTGTCATCTGGACCGCCAGTCACTCGCATGGCTGGCATAAAGTGAATCAGCTAGGTTGATTGCCGTATCAACCGATAGAACGACTGACATCTCCAGAAAACTTGTTTGTACGTGCCTCTTTCCCAAGCCAGCCTCCTTCACTGCTAGTGGGAAAGAGGGTTTTGTTAACGGCCTTGTCGACGGTTTTTCTCAGTTTTTTCTCCACTGTCGTTCCACTTCGCATCTCTATACTCAGTTTCAATCGCCATAATACCCCCTTATTGAGCCCGACTTTTGCCTTTAAGCACTTTTTTGGTATAGCATAGGAATGAACAACCAAAACTTGAAATTCTAGTTGGGCACTTGCGGAAAATATGTAATGGGTTGACATACGACATCACCACAAATGTCACGTGGTGCGCGACATGCGATAATAGTTATTGCCGCCTGCGTCAATGTGTTAGAATGCGAAAATACATTAGTGCAACTCCCTCAAGTTGCAATGATTTTGCAGAACGCTAAATCAAATATTCATGCTTATCGCTTCTACTTCAAAATCTCAAATCTATCTGTGGCATTTCATGTTGGGAAGCGTCTGATAGTAGCGACAGATTGAAGGCATAGATGAACCCGCCATGTACGTCTTGATGAATTTTCGCCCGCTTGTATCTTGCCTATCTTTGGAATGAGGATGTTCGGATTTGCTTCTCAAGTTTTTTTATTTCAGGAAATTCACAGCAGAATCCATCCCTACTGCGAAGACCATTAGCTCTCTGCGGCTGTTGGGGTTCAACCACCTATCACAAGCTATAACTTGGAGAATTACACTTGGGTCAACGGAAAATGACGAAAGATGAAAACTCAGTATGTTTCTATTTTGCTTCTCGTTTAAAATTAATCTTTTTGAATTGTTTAAGTGCCTTAATATGTAGCGTAATCGCAATATTCGTTAATTCAATATTTCTTTTTTAGAGTCACAGGCTTCGAGTCAGAGGGAATGGAGCTTGCTCGTCGGAACCACTTCATCTATTACCCACGAGAATTGCGTTTGCGAGTTTATGATCGGGGTCTGCTATTGATTTTCCACCACCAATAAAAGATAAAAACGGCCTCCCAAGTAAGTTGATTTCTCTGTTGCAATACACTGGAGGAAAGCTGTTTGTATGCATGTTTCTTCCGACGATTTTGAGTCATTTCCAGATTACCTACGAGTACAATGAAAATAAAAGGTGATGGCATACGAGAAAAGGGCAGAAAGGCCAGCGCAGAATGAAGCCTATGAGAGCTGTTTTAGCTATTTAATCATTGAACTAACACAAACTTAACCCATTGCGGACCGCGTGCTGCACCATGTGCAGCGCGCCACCACTCGGAGAATAATAGTAATGTATGGTTCACTTGGCGTTTTGTTAGATTATAAACTCATCAGTAGGGGACGGAGCAGATGT